GAGATGTGGGCCTCGGATTTACAGTCACGATCGCATCCAAACTCAGGACAGAGAACAATTGGGCACTTGCAAGTAATTATGTCAAATAACTGGTCCAGTTGCTTGGCAAAGCTGTCCTTAACTGCAAGTTTTCCTCTCCCAAGAGAGATATCTCTTGCCTTTTCCCAACTGGCTAGCAGTCTCTCACTAATCTTCTTCTGACTTGTTATGACTGGAGGCTTGAACTGAGCGTTAGCCAGAGTGTACTGTGCCAAGACAGCTTTGGTCATATCACTGGCAATGTCTTTGTTTGTGTAAGTTCTTTGGTTCTTTTCACTGATTTGCCTGATTAAAACACCGTATCTCAAAGCATCTCTCAATGTAGGCAACTCCGACTTCAGGAGCTCTCTCCCAGACCCAAGATAGTGACTGAGATGGCTGGATTTTTGGTTCCTCGTCCTGACACAAGCAGCCATCGGAAATATTATCAACTTATAAATGCATGAGAATCTGAAACAGAAAAAAATATTGTTAGTTGGGTTGTTAAAGAATGAAGTCAGAAAGCAATGTTCACTATTTAATTGTAATGCACTAATGCAGCTGTACGTTAGATTTTCGATAAATTTCACGCTAAAATTTACCTAGCAAAAGGTTGCAAAATATTGAAACTGAAATTATTTTCTGTTTATATACACTAAAATCTACCAAAAAAGTGATGGGCCATTAGTTTAAGCTGATCTTCCTTCCTATGACACACCCTAGTGTGGGAGAGTTCTGTTGCGTTTGAGAGGCATGGCCTCCTGGTAGGCTGTTCCTATGGCTTCACACCATGTGTTGATTTCTTCGTCTATTTTGTTCACCGGCTGATTGTCTATGGTCTGCAGGATTGTCATGTCCTTGGCCTCAAGTTCGGCTGTAGCTTTTTCGTTGAATAGTTCCCAGTTGGTCTGCTTGGCGATCCTCCGTGGTGGAGCTGGTATAGTTATTGGTGTCATGATTATAGGTAGGTGGTCGATGGAGGTTACAGGGCCTTGTTCAAAGGGTGGCTGAGTTCCTACTGTAGAACGTGGGGAAGTCCGGGCCTATTAGTTGGGCTTTTTTGTCTGTTATGAAGCCAGCGAGGCCTCTTCCAACATTGTTAGTTGTCCTCTTACCATCTAGTAGAGGATGTCTGGCGTTCAGGTCTCCAATGATGTAGGTTGGGTGGTGGTATGATAGGAGTCTGTGGAAGTCCCCGTAAGGCAGATAGTCCCTGCGTGGTGGGAGGTAGGTTGTGGCTATTATGATTGGTCCTGTGGTTAAGTTGATTTGAACAGCGAGAGTTTCAGAGGTGAAGTCGTCTATGATTCTGTGGTGGACATCTCTTTTTATGGCGATGGCCACCCCGTCATTTGGCTCCTCGTATAGATTGGATTTATGGATCCTGTAACCAAATATTTTTAGTTCCTCAGCCGCCTTTTGGCCGTGTGAGTTTATGAGTATAATATCTGCGTCAACTTGGTTGTATTGGCTGGACAAACTGAATTTATTAGTTCTCCCGTGGAGGACGTTATGTTGCATTATTTTCACTGCCTTACGTAGCGAGTCCATTGTATCTTGTTTTTGGTTTTGGGGGGATCCCTCAGATTCGTGGTTTGTTCACTGTGCGTCCATTCCTCATTTTTTTATCATCCCAACGGATGACTTTTGGATGCAGTTTGTTAAATCGACCTGTTTTTGTTTAATGGCCTCGAGGATGTCCGCCTCGGAAATGGGGTGGAAGTACTTCCATTTCATCTTGTAATCAATTATTCCTTTAGCGACTTCATCACGTGTACGTTCCTCGTTGATGTGGTCTGCTACGTAGATGCGTAGCTTCAGGTCTTTACCTCCCATCTCTGTTGCCACTTTCCAATGCTCCCCTCCTCACCCCCACAAACCCGTCAGCCTCCTCTCACACCGGCCCCGGTTCCCCATCCCACGTCACAAGTGAATGCTTCGGACGCGGGTTCATACTCCTGTAGTTCAAGACTCTCGGAAACTAGGATTGACAATGCTGACTGTAGTAAGTGGAAGTGTGGGAGGTTGTGCAGTACATGACTTTATAAATTATATGACTGTGTTGATAACACACAGCACGAGACATCTGTGAATTGTTATTAAATGATCACGGTTACCAAACTGAAACAATGCCTTTAAAAAACACAAGTCCAAGGATTTAGCATTAAACTTGACCAAAATAATTCTGTCTGACACTGACAATGGTTACAATGACACACTTTATGACATTGTTATCTTTCATTTACCTCTTGTAATTACTGATGAAGATTCTGTAGAGTCAGCATTAAAGGTGCATTAGAAGTAACATAAATAAATGTTTATGGGTTAAGTTTTTAAACTCGAATGTTTTTTCTCCATTTATTAAGAAAATAAATTATTGCACAACAGCTAGGATATCACCGTAATTAACGCCATGAGCTGTGAGCGCTAATAAAGGATGAAGCGTGTATGTGACGAGCTTCTCGAACACACATTTGATGTGGGTGAGAGGCAGGTACAGACTGGCAAGAAGCCGGGTACTTACAGTAAATGCTGACTCATGCATTCAAGGTGCGGGAGAGGTCAGTAGAAAAACTGTCCCATGTACAATTATGACTACTCACTGCTCACATCCCTGACTCGATCTCAACAGATCATGTACATGAAACTGCGCCTAGGGTACAGATACCTATGGGAGTACATTGGCAACCCTGATCCTGGCCGCACGTTTGTAAACTTTGTGGCCAACCCGATTCTCACACCCTCTCTCACTACATCCTCACTTGTCTTATGACCTCCTCCTACAGGTCCCCAGCCGTTACCAACACCTCTTACCTCCCTGACCAAATACCCCTCCTCCTAGTGACAGGCCTGGCATTTGGCATTATTAGGGACCTGCCACGCTTTGCCATAAGCTGATGAAATGTACCGGGAATTTTCCCCACACGCACTCATCATTCTGTCATTTTATGTAACTTGCTGACAAAACCTATGACCCTTCAAGCTTTTACGCCATTAATGCAGGAATCATAAAGGCAAGAATGAACTTAGCATGCTTCCCAGATGGGCACTGTAAACGCTTCTGCGCTTTACCTTGCACAGAATGTAAGGGGGTGCCCAATAAACTAGCCTCCTCTGGGGCAATCTAATCTCTAATCACTACTCACAGTTTAGTTACCGTGGGTGATGTAATTATATAAACATAATGTATGTAGCCCACATTTATATAAGTAATATTATATGTTTGACAGAGGCTAATATAACCTGTTTTGAACAGTTCGGGAATGTCGGGATAGTACAGTACACATAATGGTATAATTATGACTGTGCAAAGTTAAATATTTTGCAACTTTCGAAGTGTACAAAGAAAGAGTATTTTCGTATGCATGTTTTTCTTACAGCCCTACAAATGATGTGCAGTCGTCCTTGCCATACACGAGGAAATTCTTAAAGCATCCACATATCGGTAAAAGTATCTCTTATAAAGCTGTATTTTCGCCTGTCAGCCACAAACTACGCCAGTATTTCTCTTCTGCTTTTCAGGTAATTTACCATAGTTGGTGTTCGCACATCATATCATGGAAAGGCAAAAAAAAATCGCTTATTAGAAAAACAGACAAACAAACAAACAAATAGCTTGTGCAAAAAGTTCTCAAAACTGGTGAGGTTTATCGTGTGGCATATTATCAACAGTGGTGCGCTCTCTTACAGTAGAATGAGACACGGGGTGAGGCAGACAAGGTGTCCTCCTTTTAAGATGGCGTATTGATGTTATTCAGAATATAATATTTATTGGTGTATCAATTTCTTAGCGTTAATTGTCATGTCCAGGTCAGGCCAGAGTTATTAACTTAATTCTAACAGAACTGACTTGGCATCTCTGTTTACACTGAGTTCTTTATGGATGTATTGGTATCTCGACATTGATTTTGATTTTGCCGCTTACAGCGGCTACTGTATTGTGCACCCAACACTCATCCTGTGAGCGGTAGCGCAAAAGGATTACAGAGTAGAGTTTACAACGGGTCATAATAATTAACCCCTTTGTCAGGATATTATGGCACTGAATGTAACACAGTATTTCAATTACATTATTTGTTTAGTTCTATACATAAAGGGTAACTTATTCACAAATGCGTGAGTACAGGCGTGTGATGCCGTATGTCTGGCCGCACACTTTGTTATTCACAGTTGCGTGAGAAGTATTCAAGCACATTGTGTATTTGGTTCTATACATGAGAACTGATATAGTTACTAAGTGCAAAAAAGTGGATACAATCTTAATATGTCGGCTATCTTGCCATTAGAGATGAAGCGTTTTGCCATTTCACACACAGTGTGCTTGGACCTGCCCCTAAAAGGTTCTATCTTCACACAGTCGAGGACGTAGTGCTCAAGTGTGTGGCCATATGTCTGGCCACACACTTTACATTTAGTCTTGTTTACATCTGCTTGGGGAACATACTGCCAGAGGTACTTATATCATAACCTTAATCTAGCGGTTACAACATCTTGTAATCTAGTGATCTTGTTACTTGCTCCATATACATGTTTCATTTGATACATCTCATCATGGTAAACTATGGATCGACTAGTACCTGTTTGCACTTGTCTACTTGCGTCAAATTCATCAATAAGTTCTTTCCTCATTACAGTTTTAAGGGTTCTTTTTGACAGACCCAAATTGTATTCAACGGTGTTTTTGTTAGACGCGAGTTTGGCGAGGGCATCAACTCTGTCATGTTTTATGAAGCCTATGTGAGAGGGGATCCATAATAGTTTGACCTTGACACCCCGGTCAACAAGGTACGCATATTGTGTCTGCCCAATAATCTAGCCCCCTCCGGGGCAATTTAAAAAAAAAAAAATCTGGCTTCAGAGACAAGAGCGTGACAACTTGAGTTGAGGGTGTCAAGGGCAATTAGTGAGGATAGAGAGTCAGTGGTGATGAGACTGTCAGTGACAGTGGTTTCAATGAATTTAATAGCTGTGTATCTCGACAGATGCTGTGTGTGGTGGTTTTCGCCAGTGTAGCAGTGTGGTCACAGCCTCAGCGGGCCCGCCAGTCCCCTATCTCCATGGGAATGCGTCTTCTGGGCAACTTGCGGCATGGAATGACAAGGACCATCCAGGACATATTCGGCGTGGGAGGTGGGAGGGGCAAGGAGACCCCCAGCGAGCGGCCACCCTTCAGACAGCAGCAGCAATATCAGGAACTCAACCTCCTTCTTCCTGCAATAGAGAAACCCAACATAGCAACAACTGCACCGCCTTCGTCATTCTTCACAGTGATTCACGAGCCTGAGGTATCCACTGCTTTCCCAGACATCCGGGGATTCACAGACGAAAGCTTTAAGCCCAACATCTTTCTGACAGGAGCCACTCCCTTCCAAGGGACCGTAGATGAGGACCAACTTCCCTTAATATCCTCACACTCCGAGGGAAATGCCCACCCGTTGCCTCTGGCACAGAACCATCTGCCTTCCCCTCCACAGGATAGCTTTCCCCCACACGGTCTCTCCAGCACCGGGTTCTCCACCTTCGGAAGCCCAAAACCTGAAGACGTTCCTTCAGAGTCTTCCATACCATTTGGAAACACAGCAACGTTCAGTTTGGGGAGTACTTTCAAGAATAGCCGCTCTCAAAAGGTCTTTCTCCATTCCAGCCAGTCACTCCATATCCCCGAGACTGCAGAGAGCAGGGAGATCTTGGGTCCTGCACCTCATAACCCCGATGCTCACACCAACTCTCAATCCTTCATCGGAACCAGCGTTCCCTCACAGCCATTTATCAAAACAACCATTCCTTCTCACTTAGATCTTCGCGCCAACCCCCCTGCCTTCACCAGACGTAATCAGCCCTTTCAACATCCCGAAGTTCACACTAAACCTCAGCCGTTCACTCGGACCAGCCAACCCTCCCAGACGTCATCACAAGGAGTGACTTTGTCGGACCATCACCCGACCATCATCATAAGGTCTCAGTCACCATCACCGACTCATTTCCCCACCCAAAGCTTCACTGAGCACCAACGAGGGTCCACTACACAGTTCGAGCGAAGACTCACCACTCCTGCTGTCCGCCCTGTGACTCGCGAGTTTATCAGAGATCGTCTGCAGATCAGCAAGAAACCAGTAGTGCCAGTTAAGATTGGCCACGGACACATCAACACCGGCACCAAGATGCGTGTCACTCCCCGAGAAAACGAAGATGGGAGTGAGGTAAGTACCCCTTGTTTTTACCACCAGTAAGTATGTACCGGATTCTTTATGGCATAATGCATGCATGGATACAACGCACAAGCTAAGCCTGGACTATTAGCTTAATAATGATGCAACTAGTCTAAGTAATGAATATAATTTTGGAACCTTTTTCCCGACAAAGTCGGAGTTGTCATTTTTTGTGTCATTCATCAGGGTGTTGAGGTGAGCAGCTACGAGTTCGGGTATGGGGTACTGGACAGCGACACGGGCAACCAATTCTTCCATGCAGAGAAGAGGGAGCAAGGACAGACGAAGGGCTCCTACAAGATCCAGTTGCCGGACGGTCGAGTACAGACCGTCACTTACGTTGCCAATAGTCGCGGTTTCCACCCAAAGGTCACATTCGACGGCGAGGCGCGCTACCCCGACACAACGTCAACCACTCCTACATAATATTAGCTCTATGTCGAGCTCTTTCACCACCTCAACAATGGCTGCCTGACGTTTACATGTCGTCGACACAGTAAGAGGCCATGACAACCACAACAGACGGAGACTTACCCAAACTGAAGACCCTCAGATGAAACCATACCGTTGTGAGCGTTGACTTTCCTGCAGAGAATTCAGTAGGTCGGGGCCTCATAGAGGATGTTCTACGTGCTCCTGTAGAACACATAGCACATGATGACTGGCTTTATATCTGGTTGGCTTGGATTATATAAGAAATTATTGGCCAATTTTGTAAATATATGCTTTCGTAAACTATATTAAGTTGTCCTTTCGCAGGCGATAGGACGGTGTTTAATTTGTCTTTGTTTTATAATAAATATTGTGAATAAAATTATTTTTTCTGGAAAATTTTCCGATATACACTCGAATGTAAACACACACACTCACATACAAACGCACTCAAGACACGTGACCAATAGACATATAGCGTATACAGAAGCGCACAGGCAGACACGTACAAAGTAACAATTATAATGTAACTCTCTTCTGATAAATAAAGCTAAAAATAAATATATTTCTTGGGTAATAAAACAACCGAGTGAATTGTGTCAGCGGCAACCGTAAAACTTACTAGTATGATAAATGTGGTTCGCGGTGCATTATATTGTGCTACTAAACTATGTCTACAGGATCTTGGCTTGCAGAAATTGTGGATTGCCTTTGGTCAAGTAACTCATCTGAGATGGTTTCCAATACATGGCACAGTTTCTACAATTGGACCCGAGAAGACACGTGAAATCCCCTTCTTCCATGCCTTCGGTGGTTGTAATATCGTGTCTCCATTCCGTGGTAGAGGAAATAAGTCTTCATGGCAAACAGAACAGCTGCAATGAGGTATCAGGTGTCTTTAAACAACTTAATAAGTATTCAACAATAATTGGAGATGAAGAACTTAAGATGCGTGAGAAACGCAAGGCTAGAAATTTTACTCATAAGCAGAGGTCATATGAATCCATCCCACCTACCTGTTGAATGTGACAGGATTTAAAAAAAAAATGGCAATATATTTTTGCACCCCTGGCCAAAAATAATGAGGCAAGATTTTATTGTAAGTTTTATGAATACCCAAGTGTCCATTCAAGCCGTCATGAGCTAGATGAATTATTTGTCTACTTATTGAGGTAGGGACAACTACCTGGACCTCGTCTGCCCAGTCTTCCTCCTGAGACAGATGAATGATTCTAAAGTCTCATAAGAAGAATTCCACCGTGAAGATATAAACCAGGTTTCTTCTCCCCAAAATCGATATTCGGAGCGGCATTTTTCCAACATTGTTTTAATGAGGGATCCTGTGTTGGTCACACAATATATATATATATATATATATATATATATATATATATATATATATATATATATATATATATATATATATATATATATATATATATATATATATATATATATATATATATAAATCACTGTAGGTGCGCGTGATCTAGGTATATGCTGATAACCACAAGGAAAGAAGAAAACACGAAGTTCCCAAGCGCTTTCGTGTAATTCACATCTTCAGGGGTGAGTACAGACTAGAGAGAGAAATACAAACCAAGGTGTATATATACAGAGGAGGGTGAGACCAGGTCCACAATGGTCAGGTATTAGGTAATGACCCTACTAATCTTTAAATAGCACACAACGGTTGGTGGTCAGGTCAGATGGTCAGGTGACCCGGCCTTCTCACCTGGTTACAAATCTTCTTAATTACAAAATTGTCCAGCTTGTACATGCCGTTACTCAAATTCATGTTGAATGCTTCTGTATGTTTAATAAGGCTAGATTCTATGATGTTCCTACTCTCTAGTCTTATTATACATACAGAAGCATTCAACATGAATTTGAGTAACGGCATGTACAAGCTGGACAATTTTGTAATTAAGAAGATTTGTAACCAGGTGAGAAGGACGGGTCACCTGACCATCTGACCTGACCACGTTTTCATTGTGGATTTACATGATATATATATATATATATATATATATATATATATATATATATATATATATATATATATATATATATATATATATATATATATATATATATATATATATATGCAAGTAAATCACTGTAGGTGCGCGTGATCTAGGTATATGCTGATAACCACAAGGAAAGAAGAAAACACGAAGTTCCCAAGCGCTTTCGTGTAATTCACATCTTCAGGGGTGAGTACAGACTAGAGAGAGTAATACAAATCAAGGTGTATATATATACAGAGGAGGGTGAGACCAGGTCCACAATGGTCAGGTATTAGGTAATGACCCTACTAATCTTTAAATAGCACACAACGGTCGGTGGTCAGGTCAGATGGTCAAGTGACCCGGCCTTCTCACCTGATCACAAATCTTCTTAATTACAAAATTGTCCAGCTTGTACATGCCGCTACTCAAATTCATGTTGAATGCTTCGGTATGTTTAATAAGACTAGATTCTATGATGTTCCTACTATCAATTGAATTACATGGTAATATTGAGGAGGCATTATCCCAGTCAATGCAATGCTTGTTATCCCTCAAATGAACAAACAGAGCATTGGATTCCTGGCCTGTCCTAACACTGTATTTATGTTGTTTAAGTCTAGTTACAAGATCTTTACCTGACTGGCCTAAGTAAAACATATTACATTCCTTGCAAGGAACTTTATAAATGCAACCAATTGTGTTGTTGGGGGGAGTTCATGATTAACATTTGTTTAACAGTGCTTGAGTTTTTAAATGCCACATTGACGTTCCAGGTTTTTAGCTGTGCAGGAATGTGTGAGAAATTTTTGTGAAATGGTAATATTAAGATATTCTTATGGTCATGGGTGGACTTGGGGTCAGTTCTATAAAAAGTTTTCTTAGTAATGTTTAAGCATTTGTCTATGAGAGATCTAGGGTATTTAAGGTTTGAGCCAATATTATATATATATTTGTATTCCTCATCGATGAATTCTGGACTGCAAATTCTCAAGGCACGTAAAAACATTGTTGAAAATACTGACTGTTTGACTTTATTATTGTGGGCAGAATAATAATGAATGTATGAACACACATTAGTTGGTTTTCTATAAATACTGAACTTAAAAGTGTTACCTATTCTGTGTATCAGACAGTCTAGGAATGGCAATTTACAGTCTTGCTCTAATTCCACAGTGAATTTGATCGAGGGGGCTAAGTTGTTAAGTTGTGGTAGGAAAGCTTTTAGGTCCTCATTACATGGCCAGAGACATAATACATCATCAACATATCTAAACCAGACTGCTGAGGGTGGTAAAATATTACTTAATAGTTTCTTTTCAAAGAATTCCATATATAGGTTGCTTAATACAGGTGAGAGTGGATTACCCATTGCCATACCAAATTTTTGAGCATAATATTCCCCATTGAATTCGAATTTGCACCTACAGTGATTTACTTGCATAAATGGATTCCACGCGCCACTTCTTCATCCTCTCTACAAGCTGTCCTGGACTGTCTCCTTTCGTTACTGAATACTCCTCTTCGATGATCAAGGCCCACAAATTGAAAATACGTTTGAAATTTCTCCAGACATGCCTCAGTGAAAAAGTTATGCCTAGATCAATCCTACCACAACGTGTCCTGAAGATGTCTGACCGCCCCTTTGATGAGTTCCAAGAAATCATCCTTAAGAAACATTTTGAAATAAAGAAAATTGAAGTGGATGAAGCCTTCCGTATTGTAAGACAAAAAAGCGCGCTTTTAATATGACCATACCGAGCTATTGGAAAAAGTTCATGTTAGACTACTGTTTTGATAACCTGAGACGTGAGCGTTCTGATCTTCAAGCCAAGATAGACCACAAATTGGCACTCCTTATTAGAAATAGTGATTGGACTAAGGATGCCAATAACAACTGTGTAGTGAATCTCTCCTCGAAACAACTAGACAATGATACCTTGTGTGCCCTCGGCTATGGTTTAAGTTTTGATGGTTCTAACAAGGGAGTCGACAGTGTTGACATAGCCAGAGCATTTTGCAATTTGGAGAAATTCAGTAATTTGACAAGTGAAGAAGTGAACATGTGTAAAGGTGTTGTGTATGCATCTATGTCCAAGCCTTGTGTTCCAAACTGTCCAGAAAGATTCACCAAAGCAATCCAAGCCCTTAAGAAAAATAAGGATCTACATGTCACTAAAGCAGATAAAGCCAACACAGTAGTGATCTTAAACAAAGATGACTATATCTCTAAAATGAATGACCTCTTATGTGATACTACAACATATTCTAAACTCATAAATAATCCTCTCAACACTGTCAACACCCAGTTCAACAAAAAACTGAAGTCCCTATTGAGAGGCAAAGCTACGCTCATTAAACATCTTACTTCAACGTCCCCTCCACTGCCATACATGTACGGTGTAATCAAGACCCACAAGCCCAATAACCCAGCAAGACCCATCATTAGCTCAGTTGGGTCAATCTCTTATAAACTATCTAAATGGTTAGTTTCTTTACTAAATCCCCTAGTTGGCAACATTTCTAACTCCAATATCAAGAATAATATGGATCTGGTTGATAAACTCAATAACTTACACATTAATCATGATTTTAAACTGGTCAGCTTTGATGTAACGTCACTCTTTACAAAGGTCCCAGTTGATGATTTACTAGAGTTCCTCATAGATTCCCTGGATAACATTTCACTGCCCGTCTCGAAAGACGACTTCATCGAACTCATCAAACTATGTATTAAGGATTGCAAATTCGAATTCAATGGGGAATATTATGCTCAAAAATTTGGTATGGCAATGGGTAATCCACTCTCACCTGTATTAAGCAACCTATATATGGAATTCTTTGAAAAGAAACTATTAAGTAATATTTTACCACCCTCAGCAGTCTGGTTTAGATATGTTGATGATGTATTATGTCTCTGGCCATGTAATGAGGACCTAAAAGCTTTCCTGCCACAACTTAACAACTTAGCCCCCTCGATCAAATTCACTGTGGAATTAGAGCAAGACTGTAAATTGCCATTCCTAGACTGTCTGATACACAGAATAGGTAACACTTTTAAGTTCAGTATTTATAGAAAACCAACTAATGTGTGTTCATACATTCATTATTATTCTGCCCACCATAATAAAGTCAAACAGTCAGTATTTTCAACAATGTTTTTACGTGCCTTGAGAATTTGCAGTCCGGAATTCATCGATGAGGAATACAAATATATATATAATATTGGCTCAAACCTTAAATACCCTAGATCTTTCATAGACAAATGCTTAAACATTACTAAGAAAACTTTTTATAGAACTGACCCCAAGCCCACCCATGACCATAAGAATATCTTAATATTACCATTTCACAAAAATTTCTCACACATTCC